CTGGCTTCACACACCAGGGCGCAAGGGGAGGAACGGTGACATGGGGAATTTAGACAGCAGAAAATTGCTCCCACAATTAATCCCAGGCACTAAATAAACTCACCGAAGAACAGCAGGGACGGGGAGAGACCGTCTCGGGTTTGGCCCTCAGTGGTGCCCATCAGGAAGAGCTGGTGACACCTGTGTAAATTCTCAGCCTCTGCGTTTATGGTGTAGCAAAACCAGCACCGGTTTTGCTTCTCTCCAAACAAGATGCCACAAAAAGGAACCTTCCCCTCTCCTCTGCTCCCTCCTTTGCCCGTCTCAGTGGGGGCCAAGGGCTGAAGCGGTGTAAATCTGGGCAACTACATGCCCCTTGGTGGATCGCTGCTGATTTACATCAGGGTCCTTCTTTTCCTTTGATTTCCAGCTGGTGGTGCCCAGGAAAATCAAACCCAGACCAGATCTATGCCCTGGAAAACATTTTGAGTTTATTTGCTTTATTGAGGGGGGATGAAGTGGGGGGAAGAGGAGGGAATTATTTTTAAGGATTTTTAACATCTATTTGATTTTATCTCATCTCAAACCCGTGATGAACCAGGGCACAAATCCTGGCTGACGCAGTGGCTCTGACTACAGCTGTGCTGCTGGGGAAATGCTGATTTAGACCACCTGGATGGTGCCTTTGGTGGCACCAGGCTGACCTCTGGGTGCTGGAGAGCAAGGTTCCCCACCACCCCCCCACACCGAGCCCAGGCTATGGAGCTGGGCTTCAATCAGCCCAACCCCGGCCAGGATGGCTGCTGAGGTGGCAACCTTTGGGACAAGCCATTTTTGAGCATCTTTGGTTTTTTAGAAAAAACCCTTTAAAATCCCTTCTGGAGGTGCTGGAGCTCTGCGAAGGTAAAGGTGGGGTGGAAATAACAATGTGGACTTTCTCTTCCCTTGCGTCCCTCTGAAGCCTCCCTGTTGAGGCCAGGTCCCAGCCCCCCGTGATGGCCACATCACTGTCACCTCCCAGGTACGTGTGTCCCCCAGGCCACCCCTGCGCCTGGTGGTCACCTCCCCGTCGGGAGCTCCCGTCTCGCCTGGCTCATGCCGTGAGTCATCGAGTGGGGGAACAGGTCCTCGGTGCTTCGAGGGGGTGTCTGACACCATCCAGGGGACAAATCCTGCTCCCACACATCTTGGTGCTCCCCTGTGGGACAGGATCAGTCCCTGGGAAAGGGGAGGGGGCCGTGGAGCACAGCCCTTCCCCTGCTTCATCCCCCTCCCAGAGGATGCTCCCTCTAAACCTCCCTTCCAACCCAAATTATTGTGTGATTCTATGATGAGGGGCTCCCAAACAGCCCCTCATACCCCTCCCCGGGGGGTGGCTTTTTCTCCAGCCAACAAGCCAAAGGAGCCAGGGGAGAAGCCGGGGGGAGAAGCCAGCGCTGCAGGTCCCCTGCAGAGGAGCCCGGGCTCCCGCCGGCACCCCGTCTCCCCGCGCTCCCCCGGGATTATTTGACGGGGCGGGAGATAGCGCGGTTGTTCGTTAGCGTGGCAGCGGTGGCGTGTGGGAGGGCAGACGCCAGGCTGTCTGCTCCCACTTTGTTCGGCTTGTTATTAACTTCTCCTTGGGCTGCCATTAACCCAGAATTCCTGTACTTGGCTTCAGGCTTTCCCCGCGCCGCCGCTCTATCTCCCAGCGCGTAATTACAGCTGTTGGGATCTCCCTTTATCTCGGAGGATCTTGTAGGTTTGTTACCTGGCACATGCTTTCCTGCCCCCCCCATACACACACACACACACACACACACACACACACACCCTTCCCTACACCCCTTTAATCCTTCTTGCTTTCATCAGCCTCAGTGCCGGCAAACCGGCAGGGGAAAAAGCCGGAGCGTCCGTCGCCGGGGCTTTCCAGCAGAGAAGCCGTATCCCCAGCCGCATCCCGAGCCGTATCCCCAGCCGCATCCCGAGCATCCCGAGCCGGCAGCCCCCGGTGATGTCCCTGCCACCACCGCCTGGGTCTTGGCGTGTCTCAGCACCTTCCTCCCAGCCCCGAGACCGAGACTCTTGGGTTGGCTTCCAGCGTGGCCCTTGATTTATTTTTTTAACTTAATGCGAGTCGACTTGATGTATTTATTTTGGCAGCGGGTTCCCCCTCAAACCCCAAACCCTGCTAAAACAGCAGGTTCTGGCCCTGCCAACCCACACAGAGACAAACGGGAGGGTTGGGACCTGTCCCCCCCTCACCCCCCCACCCCGGGGTGTGCGCCCCACGATTGTCCCCGGGCAGGTGCCTGGGTGGCACCAGCTCCTGCCCTGGGGCACCCGAAGCCGCTGGGAAGCAGCCCCCGGGTGAGCCGTGACTGGGAGCTGGGAGGTTTTTTACCGCCTGGAGGGTTTTGGTGCCAGTTTCTGATCCCGTCTCCCAAGGGAACGCGGGGCAGGGAGATGCTGTCCCCGCTGGGCTCGGAGATGGGGACAGGATGGGGGGCGGGGATGCTGAGATCGACACCTTCAGCTCTCCCCAACTCAAAACTCCACCTGTGCGAGGCTGGAGTCAGGGAGGAGGAGGAGGAGAAGATGCACCTCCTCACCTCCGGTGTGACCACTGCCTCGTTGCTCACCCTGGGCTGCCTCATGCCAAGGGATGTCCTCAAGTTGGGGGGGATCCACTCGCTCTCCAGCCACCGGGAATGGGGGCGGTGAGATCCCTCCTTGGCATCCCCAGGGAAACTGAGCCACCACACCTTGCCTCAGGAGGGGATTTGACCCTCAGGGTCCTCCTCCCCCTCCTGCCAGAAGTCAAATATTGCCCCAAAACACCCATGGGGACACCATCCTTCCACCAGCACCTGGCACAGGGACCCTGGCTCCTCTGCTGGGTGGTGGACTTACATTTATATTTAATTATGGGTATTTATTATGTCCACCACGGAGGGGAGGGGTGGGAGAGCACAGGGGGCTGGGAAGGGGGTCCAGGTCCCCTGAGCATTTGAACCCCCCAAGATCCATCCCTGGGAGCCTCCCTGCCACCAAGGACATCCTTGGTGGTACGGGGTGGGGGGGGTACACAGCCCCCAGCCCCAGCACCTCCCTCCCACCCTCAGCGCCGGGGCCAGGAGCACCGGAGAGAGCGGAGCCACCGGTAGCTCGTCACAGCAAGCCGGTACCCGTCCCGGAGCTGGTGAGACTGAGTCACCCCCCGGCAGGGAAAGTGGGGAGCCGGGAGAAAAGCAGATCAGCAAAGGTTTCCTTCGATACTCGCGGTGGCCACACTGGCCAAGCTGGGCTCCCTGGGGATGCTCCACGGAGCCAGCCCAGGGAAGGGCTGGAGAACATCTGGATTTCTCCTTGTGCCTCTTTTTTATTTGCTGCTTCGCCCCCGCTTTCGCCTGGGTGGAGTTGGGGGATTTTCCACCTCGGCCCCCGGAGTTTGGTGGCCCAGGCAGAGGTGGCAGGACAGCTTCTCCCCGTCCCCAAATTTAGGACTTACGTAGGATTTTGAGCCCATGTCAACCCTGAGGACAGACCGTGCTGGGATAGAGGGACATGGGGACACCAAAGCCTGTGTCCTGCACCGAGGGGCTGGTCTGTGGGTCCAGCTGTGCTGGAGATGGACCTTAGAGGGTCGTGAGCGGAGGTTTAGGGAGGTGGGGATGGGGAGAAGGCAGAAGCCATCAGCTTTGGAAGGTCGGAGGTGGGTCAGAGGAAGGGTGGTTGTACTGGGAGGCTGGGGCAGGACACTGTCCCAGTGTGTCCCGGGGTTAGCCAGGAGCTCAGCTATTTATATCGGAGCTCCCGGCCCCTGCTCGGAGTGACTCAGACCCGGCGCGATGGCCAGATGGAAACATGTTTTGAAGATGGTCTAATGGGAGGGTGGGGACAGGGGACCCTCCCTGCCAGCATCCCCTGTCACCTCCTGGCTCCCTCGGGGCTGCTCCCCTCGGGCAAACCCCGGGGGGTGGGGGGGGGTGGCCACTGAGACCTCGTGGCCGATGCTTGGCTCAGCACAGGCCACCCGGCTGCGTCACCCCAGCGTCCCCAAACCCATCACCGCGGTGCAGCCGGGGCTCACACCCCCCTCCAGGGCTTGGCGTGAGACCTGGGACTGCAGGAGGTGCAAATCCTCCCCCCGGCACCCTCCGGGTCCCAGCCGGCTGTCCCCAAGGGTTGGTGACAGCATCCACCAGCCCCGACGGGGGGTCTTTTCCCCCCGGTTTGCCCTGGACGGTGCCGGGGTGGAGGCTGTGGGGCTCCCCCAGGCCCCACGCACCCCGTCCGGGGTCAGGGCTCCCCGGGGCAGTGGGAGGGAGCAGCCGGGCAGGTCGGCGCCTGCCGCCGGGATGGGGGCCCCGCGGGGACGGGGTGCTGCCGACGCCAGGGGAGGGGGCCTCCCGTCTGCCAGGGCGGGCGCCGACGGGGCGGCTGCGGGGGCTCCCAGCCCCCCCTTGGCATCCTGGGTGTCCTCCCCGTCGGCACGGGGACCGGGGATGCACGGGGCCTCCACGCATCTGTGTTCCACCGTCTGGTGTCTGTCCCTCCCGTGTCCATCCTTCTCCCATCCCCGCCGCCGCCCGCCGTCCCTGCACTGGTGAGATGAGTGCGAGCGGCCTCAGCTCCTCCTTGACCGGGGCTCTGTCCCCGGGGGGCCCAGGGTTGTCCTGTGTCCCCCCTCAAGGGGACACATCCCCCCGGGGCCATGTGTGTGGGGAGACCCTGTGCACCTCCAATGCTGCCAATAAAGGGGGGTCCCTGAGAAGGGGTTAACCACCCCCCCAACACCACAGGGGCAGTAGCTCGTGGATCAGCCCCCCCCCCCACGGGTAGTACATGGGGGATCGGGATGCCCCCACCCCGGGTGTCCCCTCCGGGGATGGGACGCGTTGCACGGGGAGGGTAACCCCGGACCGGGGGGGACACACAGAGGGGGTTGCCCCCGGGGGGTGGCAGGGGGTAACCGGGGGGTGCCCCGGGGG